TACCCCCCCACACCGCCTAGATGACGGATGTAAATGTTGTTTAAAACACTTAAAACATAAATAAGACACATGCAAACCTAGTTTAAGTGCGAGGACAAATATACTGTTTAAAAACAGGTTTAAATAGATCAACAACATGAACAAAAATATAATCATTTAAAAGAAAACATGATACAAAATATATATTTGTTTGTTTCATTGATAGATAGATGGTAGATAGAAGGATAGAACGATAGATAGATGAATAGATAGATATCGATAGACAGATAGAAATGGGTTGCATTTCGAATGTCATCGAGTGCAGTTTCTATAAAATTGCATAAATGCAGTTTCACGGGATAGCTTGAGGGGAGGTGGGGGCGGATTAAAAAAGAAGTCGACCTTCATATATACAGGGGATACAGGGGATACAGGGGATACAGGCTATACAGGATAAACAGGATAAACTGTAGATACCTAGATATATTGGTATGCATGTATCTAGGTATCTGGATATCATGATACCAGAGCGGGGAACTTTAGAATGGTGGATATCAGGATTAATGCTTAATCCTTTGTTTTAGATAATCTCGAGACTAACATAAAATCGAGATTATGTTCGTATTTAGATTAAATATTTATATCAACAAATTGGATTCTAAGAACGCCAGATTGCTTCGTTTTCTTGACTGGAAGGGCCTTCACTTAATTTTTCACCCATTTATTTATTAAAATATTAGTTAAAATTGGTTACAAAAGAATCTCAAATGTATTATTAAATATTTTTCTTCACCGATTAATTTACAAAATGGCCGACAACAAATTTCTTTATTCGTTAGAAATTGCGGATTTCTCTCAAAGGATAGAATTTATTTTCAAGGCTGTCATTGGTCAATACAATTTACGAACTATATTCCGGCACTCTCATTGGAGAAAATAATGTAAGGATACCCAAAGAGAGAGAAAAAGAGTGGATTAAGGACTAAAATTAAAAGTTTCCACAGTGGATATTCGGATTAAGTAGTTTGGATTTAAGGTTATCCATTCTAAAGTTCCCAGCTCTGGATATCTGGATACCTGGATATCTGGATATCTGGATATCTGGATATCTGAATATTTGGATACCCTGGATATCTGGATACCATTGATACCTGGATATCTGGATATATGGATATCTGGATATCTGGCTATTTGGATATCTGGATATCTGGATATCTGGATATCTGGATATCTGGATATCTGGATATCTGGATATCTGGATATCTGGATATCTGGATATCTGGATATCTCGATATCTGGATTTCCTGATATGAGGATATCCATGGGTATCTGCTGAGTACGCCCCCGGCAACCCTCTGATTACAATGAAGCTGTTTAATCTATTTAAATGCAAAATGTCCTGACTTCTAGAAACCGGAAACATGAAGTAGATTGATTGCAGAAACCAGTCTACAGTGTAAACTAGACAACATCAAAATAGACAAGATCAAAATAGAGAAGATCAAAATAGACAAGATCAAAATAGACAATCAAATAGACAAGATCAAAATAGACAAGATCAAAATAGACAATCAAATAGACAAGATCAAAATTCCCCCCCTATAGAGGACTCGTTTTCATTAAAGGGATTTAATCAAGAATAAATGAGATTTTAATATTGATTGTTCTCCAGTGTAGACTCTTGTTATCCTAGATAAGTTAGTTTATCTAGGCTTGTTATGCAGTGACAATATTCTCAAAATTAAAAAGTTTTTAGGTCGTAAATCTTATGTTAGGATAGTGAAATGCGTTTTTATTCTTTTCTGTTTTCATAAACATCCAGTAGAAACAATATATTGCTAATGAGATTAGTTTCAACCAATAACCCATTAATTTTTCGTTAACACCCCTCCTTTAGTGTTCAAGACTACTTTAGAAATACATTTTTTGCTTTTTTTTATATAAATACATAATTGTTAACAGTCTATAATAGGAGAGGAAGATGAGTATGTCTTCTTTGGTTTTATTAATCGCAACTACAAGTTTATGGATTTATATTATCTTGTTGGTGGATTTCTTCCTTGACAAGGAAGTCGATATTTGCTTCACCATACTACTCGCTCTATGCTCACTGCCTGTTGACAACAGTGCCTTATCTAAAGTAGCTGTGTTCTAGAGTAGACTAAACTAGACTAGACTAGATTTAGATTTTTTATTTCCTTTGTCGGGCAGAATAACGAGTTGACCTAAGAGGACTCTAAACCGAGTTAAGAATCCGATTAAGCTGGCCGTTAAACCGGATTAAATGTACGGTTAAGCTGGGATCCTTTACATTGAGTTAAACTGTAAGTCTAGGACTGGGGTTTACTTGAAGGGACTGTAAACTTAAATAGAAGTGCCCCCCCCCCATTGTACAGTGGTAAGTCCAATTCACAACGGTACCTAAACATTTTTCTGATCTAAGATTCAGAAAGAAATGTCCTTACTTTTGTAGCTCACTGAATATTTGCCATTGTGGTTGTTGGCTACGGGAATAATGTTGCTAAGACAATGAAAGAAATCACCAGAATTAAAAGATAAAGAAACGACGATATCTTCCTCGTTGTTACTCAGTTAAAGTTTTAAAGGTACTGGTGTAAATCGTATCTGCGACTATTATTCAATGAAGTGTTATTAGAAACTACCTCTACAGTCTATCTAAAAGTTTAGGTATGAGTGAAAAGTGCAAAAAGGATTGGTTGGGGGCTTTCCCAAAAATCCTGATTTTAAGAGATTATTTACTTTAATCCACACGTCAAATTCTTAAGAAACAAATTAGTTTGTCAACATAATCAACCTGAGCTGGCAACTTTTATGCCGAATACCCATAATCCACTGTGTACACTTTTAGTTTACAATTAAAAATTGAATGAAACTAATCTGCAGATTAACGTAAGATCGAAATCCTGTATTTATCTGGATGTCGATCCACTGTACAATTGTTCCTAGCTCTAATCTAACTTTGTTATTAAAGAGAGTGACCGGTAGTTGCAATGCATACTCAGTTCAACTACCATACACAGCCGGTCACTCCCTTTAACAAAGGTTTAAACCCTTGTTTGTTGATCATGGTTAACCATTTAGTACCATGAAGTGAACAATTGTTTACTTATTTTCAATTTTTTCGGGTTGGCTTAAATATTCCACCCGTAAATCCGTGTTATGTTTTCATAGCTATTTTTTAAGAAAGGGTTTTTTCAAAGTGATTTGGATAGTTTTGTGATCGATTATGGCCTGTCTCAGATAGCAAAGAAAACATAGAGACATTACACCCCCCCCCCCCCCATTCTTACATTCTTGTACTACCAACCGACCTCTCTTTTAAAAAGTAAATACCTAATTCAAAGCGTAATCAAAGAATGGAAGACATGTATAGTAAACACCTACTCCATAACAATTTCTAGGAACGTATCTATCCAGGTCTGTCCTCTATCAACCTCCAACAGTACATAATCCCAGGCTCTAAATGTCACACAGGGACAAAAGTTTGCTATACAACAAGCTATATATCAATCCCAAATGATGTGGACGTTCCGGTACTCTAAATGCCACACAGGGACACAAGCCTAGCTATACAACAAGCTATTTATCGATCCCAAATGATGGGGACGATCCGGTACTCTAAATGCCACACAGGAACACAAGCCTAGCTATACAACAAGCTATATATCAATCACAAATGATTGGGACGATTCAATGCTCTAAATGCCACACAAGAACACAACCCTAGCCAAGTATTTCTTAGTTAATATTAGAATTGAGTCATTAACAGCGTAATTACAAGTTATGCGCTGTTATATATATTCGCAATACAGGATTTGCGTAATTACTATATGAACAAGGTACGACGTAAATTACAATTTTTGCTACAGATATAGTCTTTTTTTTAGCAATGATGATTTGTTTTTAATTTGCACACTCTTCTCAATTCTGCATTAAAACTAAAACACAGACCTTGAATTTGTAACAAACAAATTTCATTAAGAAAAACAAAGATTTATATTCCTCCATAGAGAAAGTTTGAAAAGTCTCTTTAAAAGCAAGATTTCGGTAAAATACAAAACTTTATGAATAAAGAATAAATAAAAAATATTCATAATAATCAAATTAAAAACTGTCTGAGCTGAGATTAAATCTAAGCTTAACTTGAAACCGGGTGTACGGGTTTCATGTCTTAAGTTTCTGTCTCTCTATCTGCAAGTGGATATGCCCTGTAATGTCCGGGACTTAATTACGTCCCTCGGTGAATTCCAGAAGCTGTCCTTCAATCCTTCAATTCCCCCTTCCCCACCCCTTCTTTTGGACNACAACAATGCCATGCATTTTATTCTACATTTTTTAATTTCCCTTCTCCTTCTTTCGCAAATTTATTTCACCTAAAGCCTTCCCCCCATCCAACACTATTTTGCCAATTGGGAAAAATCTCTGATTTTATAATCAGAAAAAGGGAAACAATATTCTTTTATTTCTGAAGAGAACCAAGTTTTAGATACAGGGTGACCCACCAAACATGAAAATTAAAAAATGACTGAACAAATCTTTCATCTTTGATTCCTATATTAGTAAAAACTTACAACTTTGCTTCAAAAAAGGTCATCGCAAGACTTATAACTTTTATTAAAAAAATGCTTCTAATATTTTTTCCAATGGTATTTCTACTAAACAGTTGAAGGTACGGAGACGCCACTCATCCGCTTTATATTGGTAACCACTGTAGTACTGGTCAGATTTTAAGATGGCCTAGGTTTGTGCTTCTCTAAGTAAAGATGGGAAAAAACAACGGATGTTTATACACTCTCATAAGCTCGTCATCTAATCCTGACATACACACACCCCTCACTACACTCACACACACTCACACATCTCTTCAACACTGCTCTGTTTAATTTTAAATACAAATCTGTGAACACTATATAAAGGTCTTCAACGAAAGAAAAATCAGAGGAAATCCTTGATTTTTTTTTTGAAAGTTTTTTTTTTAAATTTTAATTGCTTCTTTATTTTCAGATAACGAGCTGTGATATAGATGGTAGATGTTTAAAAGTGAAATGTGACATGTTACAAGACCCTATTCTAGTTCTGCAGGGACCAAAGGGGGGACCAAGGGGCCACCCGCCCCGCCCCGCCACGGGCACCAGTACACCAGTACAATACGAGGCAGGAAGGTGCAGTACTGTACACGGAACTCAAGAAAACGACGACATTAAAGGATTCAACGAGAAGTTGGAAAACAAAGACGATTCCTTCAATATTCTGGATTTTTACTAACATAGGTAGGTCGGTTTTTAAAGATTTGGTGGAATTTGATAATTATGAGTATGAGTGGGTTTACTAATTCATTGCAAAGATAATTAAAATGTCCATTTATTGCAAACTACATATATAATCTTGTGAAATTATTTGTAAGATTTTAAAAGCTGAAATCGATTCAAGTCTACATTTTTGATTTATTTCTTGTAGCTCAACCTATTAAATTCAACTCTGACCAATATATACTATTTGCAATTAGTTTTGCAGAAAAAAAATGCAATAAATTTGCAAAAGTGTTTCAGCTTGAAAAATTTGAAAGATTAAGGTATGATCACGATTTAGGTTTTCAGTTCAGAATAGTTTAGGTTACTTATTATTTTCCATNTTGCCAATTGGGAAAAATCTCTGATTTTATAATCAGAAAAAGGGAAACAATATTCTTTTATTTCTGAAGAGAACCAAGTTTTAGATACAGGGTGACCCACCAAACATGAAAATTAAAAAATGACTGAACAAATCTTTCATCTTTGATTCCTATATTAGTAAAAACTTACAACTTTGCTTCAAAAAAGGTCATCGCAAGACTTATAACTTTTATTAAAAAAATGCTTCTAATATTTTTTCCAATGGTATTTCTACTAAACAGTTGAAGGTACGGAGACGCCACTCATCCGCTTTATATTGGTAACCACTGTAGTACTGGTCAGATTTCCCCCCCTTTAGAAGACATAAGACCCCCTTTTTGTATCTTATTATCTAAACGACCTTTGCAATGATATTATATTACCCCCCCCCTCCCCTCCCACTATATAAATACTCATCTATTAGTCGTGTACACCCAGAAATTATTATCCTGCCGTAAGCAATGCTAAATCTAACAGATTATTTATACACTGTTAAAACTGTCCTAACTCGAACAGATCATTTATACACTGTTAAAATGTCCTTACGTTCGTAATTCAAGTACAGGGCATTACAGGGGTGCCAAATATTTTCCATCGTCTTTTTACCTGTTACACATTGTGTATGAAGGAGGATGTTGTTTTTTATGCAAAATTTGTTGTTATAAAGCTGTTTTTGTTGGATCTGTTGTTAAAGCTGTTGTGAAAGCGCTGTTAGCTGTTATTTTTTTGTAAATTTTTTGCTGGATGTTAAATCTTTTTCTGAAGCTATTGTCGTTGTAAACACTGCTGTTAAAGCTGTATACTAATAGAGCTGTTGTCAAAGCTATTGTTTGCTGATAAAGCTGTTGTAAAATCTGTTAAGGCTGTTGTTACTCTTATATAATAAATAATCTGAACCACACGCAAAGTTCTTACCCTTATATTAAACCATTAAGACTTCACATTATCTAAAAGTTATAACTTCAATCTTAATTTTTCCATTTAAAATTGGTCGTAATTCCTGTTATCAAAATTTACTCAGTATTTTGATCAGTATCAGTTCAGATATTTCTCATTCATGATTTAACATAACTTTATGTTATTATAGATATTCATGTCAACTTATGTTCAGGTTTTTGTTCGTTTATGTTCATGTTCAGGCGTATGTTCATGTTCATTCATGTTCAGGTTTATGTTTAAGTTCTTGTTCAGGTTTATATTTAAGTTCGTGTTCAGGTGTATGCTTATGTTTGTGTTTAGGTTTATGTTTGTTTGTTTTCAGGTTTATGTTAATGTCTATGTTCATGATCTTGTTCAGGTTTATGTGTGTGTTCGTGTTCAGGTTTTTGTTCGTGTTCATATCTTTTAGCGAATTAATGAATTAACATATGAACAAATTTTAGACTGATATTTTTTTTTTCTAGGTAAGCGATGTGGACAACTGGTCAGGGCTGGAGGCGTGGCAGAATATTAGGGCGTGGCAGTTTGTTACAAATTGCCCTCCTACTTCTTCTTCACAACATCAGAGCAGACAACAGTCGACAACAAAAGGTAAAAGAACAACAACAACAACAACAACAAATAATAAAATTTGTATCTCCCTCTCCCTTCACTTNAAATCAATTAGTATATTGATTAGTTCCCAAATCACTGTGTGCCCCTAATGACCCCAATTGGCTCTTATTACAACTCTTTATACTCTCTTTTCAAATACAAGCATATTAAATTCAATATATGTAGTTTTTATCTATTTTAATCAAACCCCTGATCAAAACAATTTAAATTTCCCGAGTTTTTAGCGCTTGAGCAAAGATTTTTATTTCAGGAGCTAAAAACTGAAGGCTTTAAAAACATTAAAAATCCTTTTGTCTCGACAATGATCTACCCACTTAGAGACTAAATATTTATAAACTCTTAGTTCTCACCCAACTCATATCCCGAAACCTCTAATTCAAGAGGAAGTGTGGTTCATACAGTACGCATATTGCAGGGTTTGTTTTAATTACTAAATATTAAATAATCTGAGAGATAGATAGATATTTCCCCCTAAAATGTAAACAAAAATGGAAAACAAAAATAATAAAAATAGAAAACTAACTTGTTTTAAAGAATACGTAAACAAACGATCCCAAAAAATTGTCCTTTTTTGCCCAGCTTGTATGTTCTACTCAGACTCAGTACACTGAACCTCTATCAATATCTACTCTGTGGATCCACCCCTAATTTTAAAAAAGACTTCAGACTAGGGTTTCCAAATTTTCGTACAATCTCTTTCGCGAAAATTTCGTTCTGTCAACAAAAATTTGAACGAAAACGAAAATTTTCTTAAAAACATTTTCGCGAAATTCGTTAGAAATTTTTGTGATTAGCTAAAATTTTCGACCTTTCGTTCAAAATTTTCCCGAAATGAGGTCGACAATTTAGTTAAAAATACATCGAAATTCGAAATTTCGATGGAAACCCTGTTTCAGACTTAATTTCAAGTGACCTTCCATTTCTAAAATGGCATGTCTGGTTCACAATGTATAATATATAGAAACCACAATATATAATTTTTAGTTACATAGATTAAAAATTATGTCTCACATATCATATTTAACCCCACAAAAAAGACTTAATTGCTGATACCCCAAAATCTTCTGTTAAAATATATAATCACTTAGATTAAGTGATTACTAGTCTATAATGGTTGTCCCATTGTTCAGGTTTTCTTGCATGTTTCTTTAAATTATGAGCTGAATACAGGCCTAGTGCTATCTTGTTAGATACACACTGGGCTTTTATGCTTAAACATTTTCATTAAAATTATTCCCCCCATTTTTTCCAATGGTATTTCTACTAAACAGTTGAAGGTACGGAGACGCCACTCATCCGCTTTATATTGGTAACCACTGTAGTACTGGTCAGATTTCCCCCCCTTTAGAAGACATAAGACCCCCTTTTTGTATCTTATTATCTAAACGACCTTTGCAATGATATTATATTACCCCCCCCCTCCCCTCCCACTATATAAATACTCATCTATTAGTCGTGTACACCCAGAAATTATTATCCTGCCGTAAGCAATGCTAAATCTAACAGATTATTTATACACTGTTAAAACTGTCCTAACTCGAACAGATCATTTATACACTGTTAAAATGTCATTACGTTCGTAATTCAAGTACNCCCCCCCTACCCCACCAACACATTCCATGACATACCGAAGAAGCTCCCATCTATACTGTATACAAGACAAAAATAATGTTGTTTAACAAAAAAATGTTTGAGCCTTTAAAATTTTCCAAATTGAGAAAGGAATGGAATCTTTGCAACAAACTCAAATTTACTAAGTTCTATATTTTTGCAACCTGATCATGTAAACCTTTGATATTTCAAACTTAAATTATTCGTTTTAACAGACTTGATAGTTTGAAATATCTAGGGTTTAGAGATTATAAAATCAAAGTTTGTGGATTCAAAGATTAGGTTCCATTGCCCGGACACGAGAATTTATTTTATTTAACTTTATAGTTTTAATTAAAATTCATCGATTTAATAATTTTATTTTTAGATTCATGAGTTGATGAGCAAAGAGGAGTTGGCCAGTGTTTTTCAAGTCACAGAGCATCACTTAGGTTTGTTTAATATAGATTTTAGAATTAAAAAATATATAAAACTATCATTTTCAAATCGTCTTGAAACAATAAATATTAGATCATGTTTTTTATAATAAAAATAATATGTAGAATTATAAATTAAATGAAATTGCCACCGTACACACAGCTGAAAATCCATTTTTTTATTAGGAAATGATTACTTGCCTCAAACTACAATTTTTTAATTCTTATATCTCTGCAACCTGATATTGAAGATCATTGATATTCCAAGAGTTTTGCAAGAATAAAGTGTCAAAGTTTAAACACAAAAGTTTTTACTTCTGATCTGTCTAATCCTTCAGATCCTGATACAAAATAAAAATATGTTTTGTTAAGAAAGTTATGAAAACTAAGAAAATAAATACAACGACTGTTAAAGTCATTCTTATTTATACCAAACAACCCTACTACTTTATATGAATCATAATAATCAAAAATAAAATAAGTTATAGATATAAGTTATATTTTTATTTTTAACATTTATTTCGAGTGTTAAAGGAACCTTTTTTAAATGCCGACTAAAATTTGCTAAATTGTGTTTTATATATTTCCTGTGTGCTTGGCGGTAAAAATAAAACATTACAAAATCTCTGGGGTTGTCTCTAAGGTTAAACATCAGGGGTTAAAACTGGTGGTTTTATTTCAAGTGACGCATTATTTTAAAAGTTTCCTGTCAGATTCACAATGTCACTCTTTAAACCTTTATCCAGAGAATAGAGATTAAAATAGAAAGAAATAAAACTATCTCTCATTATGAATTTTTTCAGTCCCTTTGAGCCTCACAAGGAGTTCAAAGTGTACAATTCATGTACATTTTTACAAATTATACGCAGTATATCATAGTAATTCAGTATGATCCGTGAACATGTCCGTTACAATTTTTTTTTTACATAAAAAGATGTTCCAGGGCCCGGAAAGTTATATAGCACAAATCTGTGAAGTACACCTGCAGTATGGAAACAGTACATCAATATGGCGTTTTTCGGCGTTTTTTCGACTTAATTCCACTCTATAGTAATCTATTCTCTTTGCCTTGTTCTGAATATCAGAATAATGTTGTCGTGTTTCTATCTATCGATAAAAATCTATATAGTTATATCTCCCACTTCTACAATAGATGCTGTGCCCCTGTAAAGTTATATCTCTCCCTTCTACAATAAATGCTGTGCCCCTGTAAAGTTATATCTCCCCCTTCTACAATAGATGCTGTGCCCCTGTAAAGTTATATTGCCCCCTTCTATAATGGATGCTGTGCCCCTGTAAAGTTATATCTCCTCCTTCTACAATAGATGCTGTGCCCCTGTAAAGTTAGATCTCCCCCTTCTACAATAGATACTGTGCCCCTGTAAAGTTATATCTCCCCCTTCTACAATTGACGCTGCACACCTGTAAAGTTATATCTCCCCCTTCTACAATAGATGCTGTGCCCCTGTAAAGTTATATCTCCCCCTTCTACAATAGATGCTGCACACCTGTAAAGTTATATCTCCCCCTTCTACAATTGACGCTGCACACCTGTAAAGTTATATCTCCTCCTTCTACAATAGATGCTGCACACCTGTAAAGTTATATCTCCCCCTTCTACAATAGATGCTGCGCCCCTGTAAAGTTAGATCTCCCTCTTCTACAATAGATGATGTGCCCCTGTAAAGTTATATCTCCCCCTTCTACAATAGATGCTGCGCCCCTGTAAAGTTAGATCTCTCCCTTCTACAATAGATGCTGTGCCCCTGTAAAGTTAGATCCTCTTCTTCTACAATAAATGCTGTGCCCCTGTAAAGTGAGATCCCCCCCTTCTACAATAGATGCTGCGCCCCTGTAAAGTTATATCTCCCTCTTCTACAATATATGCTGTGCCCCTGTAAAGTTAGATCCCCCCCTTCTACAATAGATGCTGTGCCCCTGTAAAGTTATATCTCATCCTTCTACAATAGATGCTGCACACCTGTAAAGTTATATCTCCCCCTTCTACAATAGATGCTGTGCCCCTTTAAAGTTAGATCTCCCCCTTCTACAATAGATGCTGTGCCCCTGTAAAGTTATATCTCCCCCTTCTAAAATAGATGCTGCGCCCCTGTAAAGTTAGATCTCTCCCTTCTACAATAGATGCTGTGCCCCTGTAAAGTTAGATCCTCTTCTTCTACAATAAATGCTGTGCCCCTGTAAAGTTAGATCCCCCCCTTCTACAATAGATGCTGTGCCCCTGTAAGGTGAGATCCCCCCCTTCTACAATAGATGCTGCGCCCCTGTAAAGTTATATCTCCCTCTTCTACAATATATGCTGTGCCCCTATAAAGTTAGATCCCCCCCTTCTACAATAGATGCTGTGCCCCTGTAAATTTATATCTCCCCCTTCTACAATAGATGCTGTGCCCATGTAAAGTTAGATCTCCCCCTTCTACAATAGATGCTGTGCCCCTGTAAAGTCAGATCTTCACTTACCATGAAAATCCCTGAGGGGGAACACAGGGGAGACAAATAAAATTTCTTGTTTCAAATATTATTTTAGACTTTTTCCTTTTAATTTTGCTTATAAAGCCATCTCAGTCCCCACCCTCCCTCTCGTATTCCTGGAATTATAAAAAAATGTTAGTTTTAAAGTTTGTCTATAAGGATTTTAAACACTTGCCTAGCCCCATACTTTTGTATAAACCTTATATCTTTGCATCCTAATTCAGTAGTAATGAATTAAAATAATCAACGTTTGAAATATTAAAGACATCATCAGGTTTCAAAGTTTTTTTTTTGTGAAAAAGTTTCAAAATATTCTTCAACCTCTTTGTACGGAGTGCTCCCTTGATGGTTTGTAACTTTAGTAAAATTTGTAGATTTTGCACTTTTTACTTTTATAGTTTCCTTCCTGCTATAATAGCAATGAATTCGCAGAATTTTTTGCAAATACTGCAAAAAAAGGAATTATCAAATTAATAAATTTCAAATGAAAAAATATACGTTCAGAAGAAATATTATAAATTAAGCAAAAGTATTATTCTGTTTTTTAGTTTTTTTAAACATGCATTTAGCAAAATTTTGAAAGTTAAAATTTCTATTTCTATGCTTTAAATAAAAATAAATTGTGATATTGAATAACTAGAAGACAAGAATTTGCATTAAAATATTATTAATATTTCATACTTTGTAATTGCATTAAACTTAAATATTTCTGTAACGTTTTCAGCTCAGATAAACTTATGAATTTTAAGCTCCTCATTTTCTTAGAAAAAAATTGTAAACAAACGTTATGTTGTTTTAAGATAAAAACCAAACAACTTGAAAAATTTGAAGAATGTGAAATCTATATATTTGATCTGAGATATAGTATCAAACACGTTTTCTGTTTTTTTTTTAAGGTTTTAATGCTCATATGTTTAATATTGAGAAATCATTGATTTAAAGAAGAGATTCGGAGCTCAATTATGTTTTAATCTTTACAAAAAATCTATCTTATATTTCTTGAATACCACTCGAACAAATCCTGTAATGGTTTATTATTAGCTTTTACTTTATTTGAACAATCAAACAGAGCTGAAAACTATTAAAGGAAAGATTTCATCCTTTCCTTGTGGGGAAATTAACCGTTTAAAGACCGATGAAATTATAAATTCAACCATTTAAAAGTTTTGAGAGCTGGAACATTTGGTTTGTAAAAAGTATTGAAAACCGTGAGGTTTCTATGAGGAAAGTTTTTCACTAAAAACCTGGTCTTTATAAAAGAATGTGATTTCTTGTTGAGATGTGTGGG